CCTCGCCCGTCTTTATTCTACTCCGTCATCCTATCGGAAAGATCAGCTTTTATCTCGAGCCCTCGCATGACTCTTAAAACTAACGAGGCATCATACGATAATTAGTTGTCGGAATTCATCAGCTGTAACGTTTTACCTTGAGCCACAAGCGATAAATACGTTTATAAGTAATCTTACTTCTATCTGCACGTCATTAAAATTCTTGCGCGATTATGTTGACAAAAACTCGGTCTACGATTTTGCTGAAAGTAACGTTTGCGTGCCGCCCCGTGCAATTTAAATGCAAAGTACGTTTTTCTCTTTGAATAGACGTCACGATACATTATGTCGATATTACGTCGATATTACGATCGATAACTGTACGAGGAAGCAATAGAGGGTGGTCTCGAGGCGAAGCGTCTATGCACGTCGCATACAAATGTTGGAAGTTGGTAATACGGTGCGTTCAGCCATATTTAATGGCGATAACGGCTCCGCTAAATACCGATCCGGCGATTCTGCTTCCTTCGGGCAGCGCGGTGGAATGATCCATGGATCGAATCATGCAGCGCAATCGGTAGTCTTCGCTTCCACATTCTAAGCTTCCATGTCCTCTTATGAGCAAACACACATGATGTATACGTTGCCAGTACTTTTCTAATATTTATCGACAACAAATAGAAAATTAAATTCTTCAATATAAATAATATATATATATATATATGATGATAAAATAGATAATTTAATTGTCTCTTTTACAAAGTAGAACAAGAAATTTTTATTAATAGAAGATCGCATTCCTCGCATAAAATGTTTGAAGATAATTAATTAAGTTGTCAATGGGAAATAACGATGAAATTTGCTTAGCAAGAGTATCCACTTTGTGTATTCTCCGTGTGTTTGTTTAATATTTTATGAAGGTTTACGGGATCGCATTGTGTGTAACGCAAAGAAGCGAACGCACGTACATTCTCATTCTCTTTCGCCGCTTTTTGTCGCGAGGTGAACGAACGAAATGGCTTCGAAGAAGCTGATCGGATCGTTCGTGATTGAATGTCGGAGCGCAAGAAACGATCGTATTGTAAGCCGCGCCGCGCGATGGCACCGGGCAAAAATATCGGGGCGAAAAGCCGAGAAGTCGCGATGCGGAACAGTGTCATTTATAAATCATTCGATAGGATAGTCTTTTCGACGGGAATTGTTTCGCGTTTCTCCGGAGAGGGAGGGGGGAGAGGGAGGGGAGAGAGAGCCTGGTAACTTCCATCAGTTTTATCCTCCGCCGTTTTATCCCTTTATACGACGCTGAGAGCATCCTCCTCTCTTTACTATCGAATCGCTGAGCGTTTTACGACTCTGGTCGCGCGTTGTATATTTTCGTTTTCGAGAGCCATCGAGCGTTTCTATCGAACAAATCATTGTCGTTACTGTCACCTTTGACGCGCAGACAGGCGAGTGTAGGTTGAAGCGACGTGTCGAAGGTACACCCGCATATTTGTCGGCTCGTCAAGTCGAGTACGCGACGTATATTTTCTTTCATCCTTTGCGTACGAGCGGGAACGATATTTTTACGACGCTGTGCGCCACGTCGGTGTGTTCGTGCTCGATACGGCCTTATCTCCGCGCACCACCACAAGCGCGGCACTACCAGGAAGGAAATTGCATCACACGCGCGATTTCTGTACTCGCAAAGGGACACGCGACAGATTCCGAGTTCTGGTTGCTGTAAGGAAAAAAAAAAAAAAAAATACGCGTCGTAAAGAAAGCGCGAGGATTTTGCGCAAGAGTTGCGCAAAAGCTCCTCGAGCGGTGATAAAAACGCCCTCGTGCAATATGAAAATTATGATCGGTACCTCTCGCCGCGCGTCGAGCATCGTTTCAAGGAGAAACTCTTCTCACGCTATTTTCCGCCGATGTATAAAACTCGTACTCTTCTAATTTACGATCGTTAAGCGGCGCGTAACTTTTAACGCGCGTGTATAAGAAATCGGGGCCGACCGAAGAAATTTAGCCGCCAAAGCGATATTCGATCGCTCGGGAGCGATATTCCTCCGCGGCGGCTTGACGAATTCCCGGTACCGGCCGCGCGCGAAACGCATGCGAAACGCGCGTCCGAATCGCACGCGTGATCTCCACCGGGAAGAAAGTGATTCCGTCATTCCGATACTCGACCGTCGGCGTAACGGCGTCCTTTCTCCGGCGTAGAAGAAAGAGAGAAAGGTCGATTACTATTTTATGAAAATCCACTCTCGCCGCCGTCTTCTACGCCTGTCAGCTGAGCGCATCAGTTAACGTCGGTTAAACGCTCGGTGGAAAGACGATTGTGTACGACTCCGCATTTTACAGCGTGTTTCGTGAGAGAAGGCTCCCACCTCTCTCCGCTTTTCACCGTGGCGACACGAAATTCTCTCAAGCGCATACCAATGATCCTCGTATATGCATATTCATGCTTCCCGGACGCGCGCGGCTACCGATGTTCGAAATAATTACTTTGTCTACGGGGCAACGTAAGCTCTCTCTCTCTCTCAGTCGGCGACGTGATCGGAATTTTTCTCAGCGCAAATTCTTAACGCGCACGTTCATCTCCCCCGCGGGACTGTAAGATATTCGATCGGATATAGGATCGTAGGGGCAGGCGTCACGTAATGTTCTCACGAAAGCCGGATTATCTCGTGGATAAATGAATCATTTTCCAGTCTGTCGTGCCGCCGCGATAGCGTTCGGAAAGCAGCGCCTTATCATTCACTGAAAACTCGAAAGTGGATAATCTAAGGCGCCATAAATATGACATATGCTCTACGTCTACCTGCTTCCGATCGAGGGGAACGCTCCTTCGCCATTGTGTTATCCGCCAATCGTGACGATTCCGATGTGTTCCGATAGAGAATGGCGGGAACTCGCGCGCGCGCTCGCAGGTTTGCATACCAGGCCAAGCACAAGCACACACACACACACACACACACACACACACACACACACACACACACACACACACACACACACACACACACACAGAAATACACGCGTATGTCGAATACATCATCGCCGCCGTCGCCGTACGGCTGCAAATCTAATTAGTTGCACTTTCGAATTCAGGCGAATTATGCATTTTCCGTGATCTAGTCGGATCGTTCCCTCCGCTCGTATTACGTTGGCCTTGTAACATTTTTTTGCGCGCGCAAATAGTCAGTCGATAGATAGTAAACACACATAACCGCGAAGACGAGCGGCGACCGATCGGCGCCTTCGTAAAAATCGAAGGCGAAGTTCAACGCTCACTCTCTCGATTATATGCAAGTAGAATTTTCTTGGCCGCGTGACTGCGATTATATAAGATAATAAAAGTATATTGAGTTTCTACGTCGTGTTGTGGGAACCTCGAATATAAATAACTCGTGTATAAATGCGCAGCCGTTGTATTCCGCTGAATTTATTTTGACATTTCAAAGACACCCGGCGTTTCGTGCCTCGATTTCCTTCCTCCGCGCCGTCGCTCGAGAGTTTCTCGCGGCAAGCAAATTTTAGCCTCTCCTTTTTTTCCGCATCACGTACCGCAATTAAGTCCCGCTTTTGCTCGGAGAACCGAGCACGTCACAGAAATCGCGAGAATCACTTGCGTGACTCTATTTTGCTTTCTCCCTTTTTGCGCTCCGATTTCATCCTGTCGGCGTTACGTCTCACTTTTATCAGCTTTATCTGCTCCCCTTATCGCTTAACAACCTATCGCTGCGAAGCGCTGCACTAATATTTCTTCGCAAAGTCTAAACCCCACCGCGAGACATTTCGTCGTTTTTTAGCATCGTTCTCCGCGTTCTATTATCTTCAATTCCTTTTTGCCGGAGTCTCTCCGGGCGACATTTACGCAAAATTACCGCTTTCTATCTTTACTTTTTCTACACGTTTCGTTCGCTTTTTTTTCCCCCCGCGCCAATCTTTCTTCCCGATCACAAAGCGAAGAAAATCCGCTACCTGGTAATCTCGTAGCAAGAATGTTTTCGAAGAGGACGGCTGTCAATTTTCACGTTGTTTCTCGTTTCATTTTTGCGGTCGAGTGCGGAGAGCTGCGGAAAGGTGCGTCCCAGCGAGCTTGCGCTTCCGACGTTTTCTCGCGCTGCGAGACGTTTTTCCTTCGACGTAGGAATCACCGCGACGGCGCATATCACCTGTTTTTATCACCACGTCCCGGAGCACGCGGAGGTTTCTCCTCCTGCGAGGAGAATCATCCGCTGTTTCGACGTTTTCCTGGCCTGGTGTGATGTGCCGTAGTGGTATTTCCTGCGTCGTCCATCCGTCATGATTCGAGAGAAGATATTCTCCGTGCCTCGAAGATTGCAATATCGTAAAGGTGCGTGTAGTGGGGCAGCACATCGCACGAAGATAGCCATTAAGAACTATTGAAAGGCGCCTTTATAGCGTTAGTTAATAATCCATTCTACATTCGAGGAATACAGCCGAGCCGCATAGATGAGCCATCGTAAGCAAGATGAATCGTTGGGTTACATCATATTTCCCGTTCGTGTCGGCGTAGCGTTACGCTCGCACGAATAACATGTATCGACTGTATTAATTTTGACGAAGCGATCTTCCCCTCTGCCAATTTTACCTCGATTTAATTCTTAATAAGAAAACGTA